ACTTACCCATCAGACATCAGAAAATTTACATCATTCACATTTGATGACATTAAGTTGTTTTGATCAGCTAATCAGTATTTGCTTGGGTTGAATCAGGTCGCATCAATCCTGAAGGTGGGTGAGACTTGAAGATGGAAAGGAAGACAGAAAATTTATTCATTGGTTTGTACAGACTTCAGTATTGCTGAAAGAAAGAGTCCTTTTGTTGAAGCTTTTCACCTTGTACTCGTCAGGACAATTCACAAGAATATCAATATGAAGAGAAAAAAATGATCATACTATATATGGGCAGAGTGCAGATTAGTTGGTAGGTGGAATTGCCATGGAGGACATACCAATTAATAATGACAGACAGATAATGAGCCATCTAAACTTTGATGTGATTCCACAATTGGACAATGTTCGTTTTAAAAAAACCCTGAAGGTATGAAGAATTATGCTGATGATTAATTTAGGATGGATATTGGGTTTGCAGTATAACACACTTACATGTACTAGAGGCCGCGTATGTTAATATGTTCTTTACACGAAAAAAGTACATGCACTGCACCCATTAAAACTCAACAAAATAGGTGCTGGCCATTTGCTGATTCATTTCTCAGGCAATGCCTTCACTATTCAGTCAGCTGCCTGTTTTGGAATTTAAACAAAGCTTGACAATTAATTGTTAGTCATCACTAACTGGTGCATTACCTTTGTCAACGTCACTGCCAGTTCATTCCACTTACCACCAATCATCAGTCTGCTCTCATGTGGAATGAATGTTGTTTTCCCAGCACATATATATTCTTGCAAATTGTCCTAATGAGTACAAGTTGAAAAGCTTGGAATAAAGTGTCTTTTATGCAGCAATACTCAAATTCTATACTACCAAACAATTGTTTATAATATTTTCCTCTTTCTTTCCATCTTCAAATTTCAGCCATCTTTAATGACTAATGCTCACTGGATGTGGGTGTTGCTGGCTGGGCCAGTGCAAATTGCCCACCTTATTTTTGGATGGGGTTCCAGGATTTTGATCCCGTCACAATGAAAGACAGCAATATGGTTACAGTTCAGAATGATGAGTGGCTTGGAATGGAACTTGCAGTTCATGATGTCACCATGTATCTGCTACCCTTATTCTACTAGATGGTAGTGGTTGTGGATATAGAAAGTACTACGTAAGGAGATTTGGTCAATTTCTGCAGTACATATTCTAGATTGCCGCTACTGAATGTATGTGGTGGAAGGAGTGAATGTATGTGAATGTGCTGCCAATCAAGCAGGCTGGATGGTGTCAAACTTCTTGAGTATCATTGGAGTTGCACTCATCCAGGCAAGTGGAGAGTATTCCATCACAGTCCTGTCTTGTGTTTTGTAGATGGTAGGCTATTGGGTGTAAGGAGATGAGTTAGTTGCTGCAGGATTCCTAGCTTCTGACCTGTTCTTGCAGCTACGGTGTTTATATGGCTAGCACAGTTTAGTTTCGGATCAATGGAAACCCCTAGGATATTGTTAGTGGCAAATTCAATATAAGAACACATTGAATGTCAAGGAGTGTTGGTTAGATTCTCTCTTGCTATATGGTCATTGCCTGACACTTGTGTGATATGAATGTTATTTCCCATTTGTCAACCCAAACCTGGATATTATTTCTGTATTTGGACATGAGCCACTTTTTTATGTGAAAAGCAACATCGTGCAATCCTTAGGGACCATCCCTACTTCTGACCTGGCGATGGAAGGGTGGTCATTGATGAAACAGCTGAAAACAGTTGGGCCTAGGACTGAAAGACCCCTGCAGAGATGTCTTGGAGCAAAGTGACTGATTGTTAACAACCCCAGTCACCTTCCTTTGTGCTAGATATGATTCCAACGATCGGAGATGTTTTCCTTTAATTCTTATTAACTCTAGTTTTGTGAGAGCGCCTTAACAGAACATTATATCAAATGCAGCCATGATGTCAATGGCAGTGACTCTCACGTCACCTCTAGAATTCAGCTGTTTTATCCATTTTAACCAGGGCTGTCATGAGGTCAGGACCTGAGTGGCTTTGGCAGAACCCAAGCTGGGCATCAGTGAGCAGGTTATTGTTAAGCCAGCACCACGTGATTGTACTGTTGTGACATCTTTAATCACTTCACTGATGACTGAGAGTAGTCTGATGGGATATTAATTAGGTGGGTTGGATATGTCCTGCTTTTTGTATACAAGACAAGCCCAGACAATTTTGCACATTGTTAGGTTAATGCCAGTGTTATAGCTATAATGGAATAGCTTGGTTAGGGGCACAGCAGGTTCTGGAGCATAAGTCAAGAGCACGAGTAATATTGCTGGAATGTTATCAGGGCCTGTAGCTGTTGGTGTATCCAGTACCTCTATCTGTTTCCTGATATCAAGTGGAATTGAATCAGGTGAAGAATGGCTGCCATGATGTTGGGGATTTTTGGAAGAGGCTGAGATGGATCATCCACTTGACACCTCTGACTGAAGATTGTTGTACGTGCTGCAGCCTCTTGCACAGATATGCTGGTGTGCTATTCCCCATTATTGAGGATGGGGATTTGTATGGAGCCTCTTCCTCCTCTTCCAGTGAGTTAAAAACAGAAAGTGCTGGAGCAAATCAGCAAATCTGGCAACATCTGTGGAGAGGCAAAGAATTAACATTTCTAACCCAGTATGACTTCTTCAGAACTGAAGAAGCTGGAAAATCATCTTTTTGTCTGTTGACAGAGGGGAGGAGGAGCATGTGGAACAGTTTATGAGGGTGCCCAAAACAAAAGACAAAGTGGCACTAAAGGAAAGGTAAAGGCATAAAATGGGTGTAAATAAAGGTGTGTAAAGGAGAAAATGGTCAAATGGGTCGATGTTGGTTTATCCTGTTTTTAGTGGACGGGACAAACCTGAGCAATTTTTCACATTACCAGGTAAATACCCCTGTTATATCTGTACTGAAACAGCTCTGCTATAGGCCCTGCCATTTTTCGAGCGCAAGCCTTCAATATTGTTGCCAAAAATTGTCAAATCCTTTAGCCACAGTAACATCCATGCTTTCATTGGTTTCTTGATATTACTGAATGCTACTTACAATTACTTACATCATTTACTTAGATTCTCAGAAAGCATTTGATAGGAGGCTGGTTAGTAAAGCACATTGGACAAGAAATAACATTCTGGTATGGATTAATGATTGACAAACAGAAAATGGGAATAAATGAGGTGTTTTCACATTGGCAGAATATGTCTAGTCGGGTACCACAAGGATCAGTCCTTGGGCCCCGTTGTCCATAATATCGACCAATGGTTTTGGAGGTGGAAATGTGGAGATCAAATGTAATATTTTCAAATTTGCAAATACAAATGCTAGGAGGTCATGTCTGTTTTGAGAAAGATGTAAAGCAGCTTCAGGAGGATTTGGACAGTCTTAGTGAATGACAGGATGTTCACAGGGAAGAACGTGGCAGATGGAATATAGTGTGGAAATACGTGAGGTCATCCACTTTGATCGGTGGAACAGATGTGCAGAGTATTTCTTGAATGACAAGAGATTGGAATATCGATGGGCAAAGTGACTTTTCGTTAAGTCACAGAAGGCTACCATGCAGATGCAGCACCATATTAGCAAGTTTAATGGAAAATTGGCCTTTATTGCAAGAGGACATAAGTACAGGAGTAGTGCAGTCTTGCTTCAATTGTATATGGACTTAGTTAGACAGCACCTGGAGTATGGTGTGTAGATTTGATTTTCTTGTCTCGGAAATGATATTATTGCCATAGAGGCATTGTATTGAAGGTTGTGCAGACTTGTTTCCGGAACGGCAGGACTGTCTTCACAAGATAGCTTGGGCAAAATGGGTCTGTATTCTTTGGAGTTTTGAAGAATGAGAGGTGATCTCATTTAAACTTACAAAATACTTAGAGGGATAGACAATGTAGATGCTGGAAGGATGTTTCCCTTGTTAAGAGTAATATTGATATTGCCAACGTTGATCTTGCTTTGTGTACTTCCTGTACTGCCGTAACCTTATATGCCTCACTCTGTCTAAGCACCCTATGATCTAAATGTCCTTGTTTGCTATGATCTGCCTGCACTGCTCGCAAAACAAAACTTTTCACTGTACTTAGGTAAATGTGACTACAATGAATCAAATCAAAATCAGAACCAGGGACAGAATTTAAAATGAGAGTGATCCCACCTTGGTCCGAGATGAGGAGAAACTTTTTTACTCCGGGTTGTGAATCTTTGGCATTCTCTACAGAGGGCTGTGGAAACAAGTCTTTGAGTATATTTAAGGTGGTGATTGATAAATTTCAGATTCCAATGGCATGCATGCTTATAATAAGAGATGGGGTGAGTGAAAGGCACTGAAGTGTACAATCAGTTATGATTGTATTGAACGATAGGGCAGGCTCAGTGGGCTGAATGGCTTATTTCCATTCCTATATTCCTATTATGTGATGCTAGAGACTTAGGAGTGGACCAATATTTATCTAACCTGAATCAAAAGTGTGCAGACTAATCAATCACTGAGCAAGCTCGAGGAAACAAGAGATTCTGCAGTTAAAACTTAGGCTAATCGAAAAAAAAAATTTCCAATAACATTGACCTCCATTGACAAGAAAGCTGTCCTTAATTTGTTCACTTTGCATTTTCTTTGAGTTCTGGTAAAAACACTTGTAGCACTCTCAAATGTATAGTGAAAAAAAGCCTAATGCGCTAAAATTTTAATGAGTACTGTTATTTTAAGAACTAAATCAGGTATTGCTGTGGCACTGAGCTAATGTTACGGGAAAAATAATACCACCTATCCTCCAGTTGTATGTATTTCTCACTGCTGTGGCGTAAAGTGCCACAGTGGATTCAAGATTTGCATTCAAGTGGTTTTCTGCCAAAATGCTTGAATTTGGAATATGTTGTAATGAAAATCCCTATTTAATGTGGAGAACTTCTGAAACACAGACTTTATTGCCTTCACTAAAAGTTATAACTCACTTCAATGTGTTACCTTTTAATTAGGTGGATTCAGTCCTGTTGGACATCGCTTTGGCAGAGCTCCATCAGTCAAACTAGAGAAGGTAGGAACTATATCAGTTTCCATCTTTGCTGCTGAGAAGTCTTATAATTTTGTCTAGTGAAATCATGGAATGATGCTATCATGGACAAAGGGGGAATGGAAGTGAATTTAAATTATGATTGCCTTTTCCCTCTCAAGCTCAAGACAGCAATGTATTATTTAATGTAAGATTTTCTCTTTTCTTCCCATCCCTTGTTGATGTAGACTAGGATGTTTTACCCAAACTGTGTTTTTCTGAGTTTCAGGCTTAGAAATAAACCCACAGAAAAATCCTTTATGATAAAATCAAAAGTAGGGTTTATTTTTAAACAGAAAGCAATCTTTCCAGCTAGTAACTTGGGGACAGGCTACCTACTTAGCCTGGAATCCCACATTTCTTTTGGGGGTCAGACAGCAAATGAGCTATAATCCCTAAATTGTATATTCAAGTAATTCATCCAGTTTCAATTTGTCATGTGACAGGATCAGGCACTTCAAATGCCAATGGTCCACCTGGCTGAGATAATTGGAAGAAAAGCATTAGAGTTTGTTTTAGCATAATTGATCTCTTTTTGTTCAGATTTCGCTGGAAACAAAAACAGAGATTGCTGGAAAATCTCAGCAGGTCTGACAGCATCTGTGGAGACAAAGCCGTGTTAATGTTTCATGGTATCAGTCTCGTGTACCTCCTCTGGACTGCTTCCAGTGCCAATATACCTTTCCTTAGACAAGGAGCCTAAAACTCTTCATTATCTTCCATCTGTAGTCTGACTAGTGACTTGTAAAGTTTTAGCAAAACTTTCCTGCTTTTATACTCCATTCCTTTTGAAATAAAGGCCAACATTCCATTTGCCTTCCCTATTACATGCTGAACTTGTTTGCCAGGTTTTTTGCAATTCATGGACAAGGACTCCTAAATCCATCATAAAAACTAAAGAACTGTGGATGCTGTAAATCAGGAACAAAAACAGAAGTTGCTGGAAAAACTCAGCAGATCTGGCAGCATCTGTGAAGAAGAAATCAGAGTTGACGTTTCAGGTCCGGTGACCCTTCCTCAGTATCTGCTGCCCTTATCCCTCCAGATGGAAATGGTTGTGGGTTTGGAAGGTGCAGTCATTAGGATCTTTGGTGAATTTCTGCAGATAGATAGATATCTTATAGATAGTACATACTCTGCTACTGAGCATTGGTGATGGATGCAGTGGATGCTTGTGGATGTGGCACAATCAAGCGAGCTGCTTTGTCTTGGATGATGTCAGGCTTCTTAAATATTGCTGGTGCTTCAACCATTCAGGCAAGTGGGGAGTATTCTGTCACACTCCTGACTTGTGCCTTGTAGATGGTGGCCAGGCTTTGGAGTCAGAAGGTGAGTATTCCTGTCCTTTATCCTGTTCTTGTAGTCACTGGCGAATCCAATTGAGTTTCTTGTCAATGGTAACCCCCAGGATGTTGATAGTGCAGGCTTTAGTGATGGCATAACCATTGAATGTCAAGAGACGATGGTTAGATTGTCTCCTATTGGAGATGGTCATTGCCTGGCATTTGTGTGGCGCAAACGTTACTTATCACTCGTTATCCCAAGCCTGAATATTGTTGAAACCTTGTTGTATTTGAACATTGCTTCCACTTCTGAGGAATCACAAATGATGCCGAATGTTGTGCAATTATCGGCAAACATTCCCAATTCTGACCTTAAGACAGATGGAAGGTCATTTGTAAAGCAGCTGAAGGTGGTTGGGCTGAGGACACCATCCTGAGGAACACCTGCAAAGATGCCCTCAAGCTGAGATGACGGACCTTCAATAATTACAACCATTTTCACTTGTGCCAGATATGACTCCAACCAGCAGCAATTTCGCCTCCCAGTTCCTGCAGACACTAGTTTTACTCAGGTACATTCAGTCAAATGTGGCCTCAAAGTCAAGGGTTGTCACTCTCACCTGACTTGTAGTATTAAGCAGTTTACTCACTGTTTGAATCAAAGCTGTAATGGGGTTTGAATACCATCTGGCACTGATCTGCCCAACTTGTCTGTTTCTTCCTTTAACCTAAGACCTTCCTTCTCACTGTCAACTACTCAGCCAATCGATGTGTCATCTACAGATTTATTTATCATTCTCCCCCACCCCACATTCTCATATCCATCATTTACGAATGTCACAAGCAATAAAGGATCCAGCACTGATATCTGTAGAATGCCACTGGACATTGGATCAGATAGATTGTTCACTTTGCCATCCTCCCAAACTTAATGTGGTAGATAGATACAGGAGATGGTGAGGAGGTACATAGTAAGTGACAGGTGGGTGCCAATGAAACTGAAATGGATGTGAGGAATGTTGTTTGGCCAAACTGAGTGAAAGAGTGGAGGAATTACACCACAGATGTAGATGAATCAACAATGCATTTGCGTTCTCTTAGTTATGTAATTAAACCACTTCCTGCACAGTATTCAAGACCAAAGCACAACATTCAGCTCCTCAGTCAGTTCAAACCATACATTCTTAGTGACAACTGCTGTTTTATTTCCGAAATTGTAAGTTCCTCCTGTTTCTGACTGTATAAGTAGTAATTCCAGAGGAGTATCCTTGCATCTGAATGCCAACTTGGCTGTCTGTCTGTGTAAAACACCTCATTTCTTCACCAAATTCAGTTTTGCTCTTTAAGTTGTGGCCTTAGGTTTACATAATGCAGGCTTGCATTACACGCATTCCACAGGCTTAGAAACATGAAATAAAGAAGTACATTTTTTTTGCTCAATCAAACTTAAATCAAAAATTCTGACATTCGGACTGATAGTTTTTTGTGCAGTTTTTAACTCATTTTAGGACATGGACATCGATAGCTGGCCAACATTTATTATCCAATCTCTAATCCACTCCTAGATTTTCATAGCTTTAGCTATCTGATTGCATTTATTGCTATCATTTATTGCAGTCCCATTTTCCTGCATTTGTGTTGTGCCTTCTTTCATGAACTTCCTAATGATTACAATCTTGAGATCTCAATCAACTCCAACTCATAGTTAAGACTTTCTGATATCTGCTGCATTGTACCATTGAATGGATGCATTAAAAGCAAAAATACAAATAAATGAGTATGATATGATATCCCAGGTTGTCAAATCTGGCCCATGGGCCAGAGTTCACTAGTGAGCCTGTCCACTGCAAATGTGAGAGATAACCAGTCTGTGACTGGATGAGCAGCAGCAGTGCAAAGTTAAAGTGTTGGGGGTGTAGGGAGTAGGGTGTAGAATGGCGATTTCCTTGCACTTTTTTAATACTAGTCAGGTAGATTTCAACCATCAGCTGACAGGAAACTAGTTAATAATGGCAGTGAGAATTACCACCCATTTTGAGGAATGGGCCTAATCGCCAAACTGTCAACAGGCTTCATCTCACTGTATTTGAAACAGCAGCAACGTAAGTTCAGGGACTAAAGGCAATCTTGATGTGGGGCTGGGGTAGGTTTTCCAGGATAATAGTCAACTGCATTACTCTTGCGCTTTATCTTTGTCCAGCAGAAATAATTTTAAATCCTCCAAATAAAAGCGAAATACTGTAGATTTTGGAAATCAAAAATTAAAAACAAAATGTACTCCAGAAAGTTAGCAGGTCTGGCAGAATCTGCAGAGAAAGAAACAGAATTAATTTTTTGAGTCTGATATGACTCTTCTTTAGAATTTTAAACTCTCACGATTTTTTTGATTTTTGAAAGCTGACAAACTAAATGATAATTGAACAAGTCCTGGCTGATAAGATGGACCTGGCCTTCCAGTGAAACAATAGATATCAACATTTGCCCTTACACTTTTCCCTAAGTAGACTCAAACTTTTGAATTCTGCACTTCTTATGTTTAAGCCAAGCAACTAGCCTTAGTTTATAATAAGCCCAAATAAAACTGGCTTTGCAATTAGACCATAAGATGTAAGTGTGGAGGGAGGCCATTCAGTCTTCTCTGCCCTTCAATAAGATTGTGGCTAGTCTAATAAACGTCATTCTTTTCCCCCCAACCCTTGATTCCCTTACTGATTAACTATCTGTCTGTCTCAGTCTTGAATGTACTTAATACACAGCTTCTATAGCCTTTTATTGTAAAGAATTCCATAGATTCGCAACCCTCCGAGAGAAGCAATTCCTCCCCATTTTAAATGGGCAACTTCTTTCTCTGAGATTATGCCCTGTGGTCCTTAGTCATTCTCAGAAGGGATCCAACCTTTCCACATCTACTCTGTCAGGCCCCCTATATACTTGCATGTTTCATTAAGGCCACCTCCCAGTCCTTTAAACCAAACTCTAATATCAAGAAACAGTTGGAAGCAAAGGCTGTGTGGGGCCCTGACAACATTCCAGCAACAGTTCTGAAGATTTATGCTCTCGAACTTGCTGCACTCCTAGTCAAGCTGCTCCATTGTGATTCCAACACTGGCATCTTCCTGGCAATATGACAAATTGCTTGGGTATGTTCGATAATCTAAAAGCACAACAAATCCAACCTAACCAATTGCCATCAGTTTACTCTGTCTCATCAATAAACTGATGAAAGATGTCACAACATTGCTATCAAGCGGTATTTGCTTAGCAATAACCTTCTCACTGAAGCTCAGTTTGAGTTCTATCAGGGCCCACTCAGCTCGACTCATTATAGCCTTGTTTCAAACATGGACAAAAGAGCTGAATTCCAGAAGTGAGATGAGAATGCCCGTGACATTAAGTCTGCATTTGACTGATTGGGACATCAAGGAGCCCTAGCAAAACTAAAGTCAGTGGAAATCAGAAAGCAAAATTTCTACAGGTTGGAGTCATACCTAGTAGAAGGGAGGATGACCGTATTTATTGGAGGTCAGTCATCTCAGCTTCAGGACATCTCTGCAGGAGTTCTTCAGGGTAGTGTCCTAGGCCCAACCATCTTCAGCTGCTTCAACAATGATCTTCCCTCCATCATAAGGTCAAAACTGAGGATGTTCGCCGATGATTACAGTGTTCAGCATCACTTGTAACTATGTCCAAATGCAGCATGACCTGGACAGTATCAGCTGACAAGTGGCAAATTTGTGCCAGGCATTGCCACCTCCAACA